CAGCCTCGCGTGTGCCCGGGATGTGCAGCCTCGCGTGCGCCCGGGATGTGCAGCCTCGCGTGCTCCCGGCGCTGTGCAGCCTCGCGTGTGCCCGGCGCTGTGCAGCCTCGCGTGTGCCCGGGATGTGCAGCCTCGCGTGCGCCCGGCGCTGTGCAGCCTCGCATGTACCCGGCGCTGTGCAGCCTCGTGTGCGCCAGGGCTGTGCAGCCTCGCGTGTGCCCGGCGCTGTGCAGCGCTGTGCAGCGCCCAGGCTGTGCCCTCTGGCGCCAGCCCACCAGGAGCAGCGCGAGCGGTGCTGCGGGAGGTCCCGCCGCAGTGACAGCGAGTGGCGGCCCTCCGCAGGGCGGACGCGCTCCTGCAGGGCCCTGGCCGGCCGCTCCTGCCCCTGCTCCCAGCCCTGCACACCCCTTGCCCGCATCCCAGTCTCCTCTGCTGTCCTCCTCCAGGGGACAGCTGAGCGTGGGGCGCCCCCAAGCAGCCACACCTCCTCCTGCTCCGCTCCTCAGCAAGGTAGCACGTGTACCCCGAGAAAGGAGAGCCCCCGACCTCGGCAGCTGCCCCAAGTCAGCTAGCAAATGCCAGACAAAATTGTAACTATGGGATTCTCAATTCAAGCATTGCACTCTGTTGTGTTAGCTGTAGATTTGGCAGTCCTCAGAGCCTTTGCGCGTAAACCAGGACAGCCAGAGACTCCTAAGGGATGCACAGACGTGAAAACTGTTTTTAAAATAGCTTTATTGAGGTAGATTGACACATCATAAAATTCCCTCATTTAAGGTGCGTGATTTAATGTTTTCAGAATATCCACAGAATTGTCTGACCATCAGCAGTCTCTCATTCTACAATATTTTCATCACCCCTGAAGACACTGCTGTCAGTGGGAATGAGAATGCATGTTAAAAACTCAGCTTGCATCTCTTGGGCACCAACATGTACTCCTTCCAAGATTGACCTTCCTAGACCTCTCCTGTGTTACGGTGCCACATATACTTCTCTTCCCACCTCTCCCATCACAAGAAGGCTTTCTATTTTTATCAGTGCAGGCTGCACTTGCTGCCTGTCACGCTCTGGCACTGTGGAACGAGATCAAGCGCATGTCCTCAGTGCCTCCTGTCCTAAGATGCCATGTGCCCGTGATAGGGCACCTCGCCTTCCCTTCGCCTATGCATTTGTGTGTGTGTGTGTGTGTGTGTGTGTGTGTGTGTGTGATGTTATTAGAACTGAGAGTACCTGGACCTATTGCAGGCTTCTCAATGTGACAGCAAGCTAATTAAAATCTGGTTTTGTTAATTTCACTTCTTCCATATCCAAGTCATCAAAGGATTCGTCGCTCTTGTAGCTGATTCCTGTGAGAGCAAATCAAAGAGAACCTTATACAAAATCATCATTTTCTCCCTTCATCTAAGCTACAAATCCATGACAAGGCTACACGGTCCATATGGCTATTGTACAATTGAGGTTCTGAGGTAGTGCTTCTTATGAGAAAGTTTACTGGAATATTTAAGTTTAAAATAAGTACAGACTGGGGCTGGGAAGATTGCGTGGCGGTCTAAACGCCTGCCTGGCAAGCGCAAGGACCTGGGTTCAATGCCTGGTACCACGTGCTGTGCCAGCCCTGGTCGTGCCAGCCACCAAAACCAGGTGTGGTGGGGCACACCTGTAATCCCAGCGCTGGGGAGGCTAACCAGGAGGATCATTACAAGTCTGAGCTACATAGAGAGACCCTGCAAATATATCAATAAAAAGATTTTTTTAAAAATTAAAAATGCAGAATTTTTAAGGGCAAAAAGCAGACCTATAGATTTTACTTCTGATATAAGAAATTTAATAACATGCGCCAATACATCCTACTGCACAGCTACATTAATATTTATTTTTAAAGTGTTGGGAGCTAATAGAGAGAAATTCCCAGGGAGAGAGACAGACATGAGGAGAAGCGGCGGCGCGGCTTTCGGCAACCGCCACAGCGGGATGATGAGGCTGAGAACTGGGAATCGAAACACGAAACAAAGGAAAGATCCGGAGAGAGCAACTTAACTATAATCTGAAAGTAAAAGAAGTGACATGCAGGTTCCCAGAAAAGATGATGTTGTAACACAACACACCAAGGGGAAGAGAAACGAGGATGGGAACCACTGAAGAAGGAGCGACACAAATTTCAGGCACTGCTGAAGAAGGAGGAAACCCAAGTTCTGGAGCAGGAGTTGGCTCCCTAGTGAGGAGCAGCGAGAGGGATCCTCTCCACCGCCTGCTGGTGAGAACCCGCTGAGAAGAGCCATCACTCACCTGGTACTCAGCAGTGGACTGATCTTCCCACATATTTTGCCAGCAATATGTACTAGTTAAAAGCATAAAGTTTTAGATGTTTGTAACTTTTAGCTTGTAAATTAGAAAAATGTTTACAAACATTACAATGGAAGTCTGAAATGGCATTAATTTATTGAAATGATTTTTAAAATGCACAGGGGTGGAAAATCATGTGTTGAGGTATAAACCAATATTACAACCTATGTACAGCACTCAGTGGTTCCTTGAACATCATCATTCACTGGGAGGCTTTGTTAAATGTTAGGAAATATAAGTTACTGGGGCTTATTTGCACACTTGTATTGCCTTGGACTGATCGAGTAATCTCTGGCCAATAGTCTTACTATTGCATTACTTTTATGAACTGGCCAATAAGAGCGCTTGTTTGGGGATGACTTGCAGTGTGTGAAACACTTCTGTAGTTTTTTGGTCCACATTTCCATTTGGTTATTAGGTTCAAAGTCAAAGTGATTTCACATTTCAAAAGATTTTGCACGTAAACTAAACTGCAATTAGACAATTGCTGTCTGCTGACTCAGTATATCACTAACACTCCTGAAATGAAGTTGTAAGAAAAGTTGTAATTTTTCTGAAGTGATAATTTTGGTAATGCAGTTTTGATATTGTCGATACAACAGCAATATTTATTTGAATAAGTTTAATCCATATTTGAAATTTTATAGCACTATGATATTTTTAATGGAATAACATAAAACATGAATGAATAAAAGTAAATGCTGAAGAGCCAGAGAGATAGCTCAGGGGACTAAGCACCTGCTTAGGCAAGCTCAGGGACCAGGGTTCAATCCCCAGTATCACATGCCAAGCTGGTCCCACCCCTGGGCACACTGAGCCTTCCACTGAGTCCAGGCATGGTGGCACACCTATAATTCCAGTGCTTGGGAGGCTGAAAAGAGGAGGACCACAGTGAGTCTGAGCTGTATAGTGAGACCCTGAACCAAATAAATAGATCTAAAAAAAGTAAATGCTGGTAGATATTTTGTATACAAATATTTATAGAATTCTGAAATTGAAGATTGATTATATCATTGTGGTCAATTTAAACATTTTATAATTTCAACTATCCAAATAAATGAACCTTATATTTACAATTATATACCAAAAGTGTAGGGAGAGTATTAATTTTAATTATTACTAGTAATAATGAATAATATAAATATTCATTGTGTAATTTGTAAGAACACTAAACTCAGAAAAACAATGAACAGAGTTGGCACAATTGATGGAACAATGGAAAGTTCTCCAAGGAGAGCACAAGAGAGATAAAACCATGTAGAATTTCTTAAGTGATGGGTTTAAAGTTACATATAATCAGCAATTATTTTACACTCATATTTTTAAATATACCAGTTAGATTTTCTTTTTTTTTTCTTCTGTATTTAGTACAGGGTCTGTACAGTCTCACTATGTAGATTAGACTCATAGTGATTCTCCTACTTTCAGCCTCCCAAGGGCTGGGATTATTGGCGTACGCCACCACGCCCAGTCTCAATCCCAGCACTAGGGAGGCGGAAAACAAGAGGATCACTATGACTCTGAGCTGCATAGTGAGACCCTGCACACACACACACTCACATACACACACACACAAAAAAAAAAGACCTCTTTAAAAAACTATGGGAAAAGACATTTAAACATAAACCATTTTCAAGGAATACTTAAGAAAATTAACATAAACTATGCCATAAAACAAAATTTTCACAAATTGTAAATATTTAAAATCATACACGGTGTATTCTTTGACCACAAGACAGTTATAGAAGAAAGAAAGACACCTTTGCAAATTACGTATTTGGAAACATAGAAATATGCTTATGAACAAGTCACAGGCCAAAAAAGAAATCATAAGAGACTAGAAAAGGTTTTGATCAGAAAGATCACTGTGATGACAAAGTGTGTGGGACGAAACCTGATTTAAGACTGGAACACAACATTCAGCATTAGGTGTATAATTTATTACCAAAGAAAATAAAACATTTTTTTTGTTTGAGCAGGCTGTACCTCAAGAAGCTAGAATATAGAAAATCATTTCAAAAAATAGGGTGACAGAAAAATTTTATTTATTTATTTATTTATTTATTTATTGCAGTCCCGAAGATTGAATTCAGGCCCTTGAGCTTGCCAGGGAAGTGCTTATTCTACTGGGGCATCTCCCCGACCCCAAAAATTTAATTTAGATAATGGAAAACTCACAACTTGCCAAAAACACAAGTTGGATTTAAAATAACATTCAGTATATAGACAGATCAGGAAGAGAAAAGACGTAACTCTTGAGGAATCAAATAAAACGGTGTCACAGAACAACAAAAGTAGAAAGTTATATTCTATGAGATACGTACTTTTAACACAGCTAGACAACAGAGAAATCCTAACCTTCAAATTACTACATGTGAACATGAAAGAAAACACAAAACCCAAGCAAGCCATGCTCTCAGCGGACATCTTTGGTAGTAAACAAAAGCTGTCTTGGGGAAATGGCAAGGCAGAAAGAAGAGAGCTTGCAGTAAGTGTGCGCTTGACCTGGAGGCCCCCCACAGAAAGGTAAAGTAGAAGAATCTCCAGGGAAGGGCTAACGTGCCAGGCACGAGGGAACAGCCACCAAGAGGCAGCCACCATCCAGGAAGAGGAGAAGGTCAGAAGGAAGGAGAGTCATCCTTGGAGGCTGAGCGGCGAAGGGAAAAGGAGTGTTTAAGTTCCTCACGGACAAAAGAGGATAAGACAAGTGGAGCTCAGGCAGTTCCTGCAGTGACCACCACTGCCTGCAACACAACTGCATTAAAGAAGCTATACTGTTCTACACGGACAGAAGAGGGCAACACTGAGTTAAGAAGATTGCAAACCACACCGGATCCCACGAGCAGAAGATGGAATAAATAAATAATATGATTGTAATAAAATAGAAAACAAGAATTAAAACATGCCAATGAAGAAAATTAGTTCCTGAATCAACTATACAACAAAAAAATTACACTACAACAATCAAGCACTTTTAGCTATGAAATGCTGACTTGGTGCAAAAAATGTTTAATGAAAAATGAATGGCATGGTCTGTGAAAAGGATGAGAAGTGACTTTTATGTTAGGGCATAATACCTAGTTACATGGAGCCAAGGGAAAAGAGGCTAAACGTTTTAACAAGGGACATCAAAGAAAGGCAAAGAGCATGCAGGAAAAGCAAAATGAGACAAGGAGTGAGTTGCAAAGTGGCAAGAAGTGGTTGAAATGGAAGCTAGGCAGAGAAGAAGCAATACACGTATAATTGGTGTCTCTGAAAGAGAAAACCTAAATGAGTAAACAGAATTAATACCATTGAACCCAACTTGGCAGAACCAGCACTTTGGACTGAACTGTTCCCTGCAGAGCTCCGGATGCCGTCTCCCCGCTCTGTGTTCAAGTTAACGAAAATCCCTTCCCAAGCAGCAAGAAACAGTTAGTGGAAAAAATGCAGAGAAGGCACAAAGGGAGAAAGAAAAGTACAAAAACAAATAATAGAGTAGGGCAGACAGCGCAACAGATCCTCACTATAAAAATAGATATTTTAAGAACCCTCCCCTTAGAGAACTATTAATATTGTAAGGAATAGCAAAAAAAAAAAAATCAAAATTAAAGACAATGTAGAAACATCTTTGGAGAAACAAAGCCAGAAGGAAGCACAGCAGGCAGACCTGGGGGAGGGACCGAGGATGGGCTGAGGGGTGAGGCAGTGGGAGCCGAGAGGCGAGGTGCAGAGAGCCACTTCCGTTTTGAAATTTGTTAAAGTGTCACCACTTCAAGCAAGAGCAGTGGCCATATATGGGGGTTACAGCATATACAGAAGTAAGACATACGACAGTAACACAGGAAACGGCACAGGGAAAATGAGCACGTGACTGGCAGTCAGAACACATTCTGAAGGTACACTGTGCTGCATTATTGTTAATAATACTGTACCGTGTACTTGAAATTTGATAAGAAAACAAACGTTAAGTTTTCCCAGCACACACACACACATAAATGATGACCACAGGTGACACGGATGGATTAATTTGGCTCTTTAGTCATTATACAAGATCTACAAATCACCATGTTGCACATATACATTTTCTTTAACTATTAAATATTTTATTTGAATAATATTTATAATTATTTTATATAATATTTACTTGAAAAGATAGACCTCTTGTCAGTCTGCAAGAAAAATAGAGAGTATGTATATTAATGCAAGAAATGTAGAAGGGATAAGTACAAAAGTTGCTAAAAGGAAAATATGAGAATGCTATACTAATTAATTGTGCATCTTAGATAAAATGGAAAAAAACTCCTTTACAATTACAATTTACCAAAGGAAGTACTGGATAAAATAGGAAACACGAACACCTGTATGTATTAAAAGTGACTCAAAAATCAGAACCCTTTCCCCAAACTCCAGGCCAGATGCTCTCACTGATGAGTTCTGTAAATGATCTAGGAGGAAATGACACGGGCGTTACATGAGTTACTTCAGGTGAAGCGGCACACTAAGAGCCAGGCCTTCCCAATAAGAAAATCAGATAAGGGTACCACCAAAAAGAAAGGAAATTAAAACCTGGTATCTGTCCTCACTCTGATACACATACCCTTAGCAAATCAAAACTGTAACTTACGAGAGGTGTGAGATTGATATACAGATCGGGTGAAACTAATCGGAAGAATGTATTCCTTCAACATGAAAAAATCAGTGTAATTCAGCACGCTGACCAAATGAAGAAAACAGTTATTTTAGCCTCGATGCAATTTTTAAATATCCGCTAGGCAGGTTTAAATACAGTACAGACCTAAGTGGAAAAGGAGGTGATAAGCAGGGAGTTGATGGTACAGAGTGACACATGGCACAGAAGTTAGATGGAGTGATATGCAAATTAGGAAACTTGGGGACAGAGTAAAAGTTCAGCACTTTCTGGTAGGAGCCTTTTTCAAAACGGGGTTGGGGAATGAAGTGTTCACAGACAGTAAAGAGAGGAAGACAGAGCTGTCTGTCAGATGCCTGCCGTGGATTCTGGGACTGGAGACAAATCACAGACCTTGCACCAGGTGAACATGAAAAGCAAGTCTCCTCAAGAAAGCATATTAAAACTGTGGAAGAACCAAGATAATTGTAGTGGCTGATACACTGTGTCAACTTGAGGAATTTAAAGCTTAGCTAAATGGGCTCAGCAATCCTACACCCTGGGGCGTGGAGGCCCCACCCTAGGGGCACTCAGCACTTAGAGGACATAAAAGGGAGCCGAGGAAGGCCGAGCCTTCCATCTCCTAGGAGGAGCTCTGGTCTTCGCAGTCAGCTTGGACAGTGGCTCCTGGCTTCCAGCGCAGACTCTTTGGCCTCCGCCTTGGACCCTTCAGCCTTCCGGTGGAGACTCGTCAGCCTCCAGTCGCAGGCCCATCGGTCTCCTGCTACGGACTTGCGTGGAGCACTGCAGTGAGCTCCAGCCCCAGACTGAATCCCTCTGTGTCTCCAGGGTGCAGACGCCCTGCACGCTTCCTCCTCCGACTCTGGCTGACCGCCCTAAGCCAGTCTTGCACCGTCTTTTCCATGTGTATGCCTTGGGTTACATCTGTTCCTCTAGTAAAACCCTGACTGCTACAATAACATGCCTGCTACAACCTGATGGGGGAGAAACAACGCCTGCAAAACTACGCCCAGGACACTTTCCAGGGCAACGGGACAGCCCGGAAGGGGGTTAGATTTATTCGTTATTAGAGAATCGTAACTGTTGAACTAGAATTCTAAGGCAGTTAGATTTTTGAAATGTGAAGATGAAGTAAAAACTAGACGCTCACACCTTTGAAAGCACTGAAAATTGAGGCTCCGCAGCAAAGAGAACGGAGCGCTAATGGAAACTCCTCGTGGATAAAAGTGCAGAAGTAGGCACACAGTGGGTAAGATGTAAGAAGCCTAAATGAGTACTAACCATTAAAGGATGATAATGGTGATAGTAATAAATAATTGATTAACATTGCTTAAATAAGATGGAAGATAAGGAAAGAGAAAGCATCCAAGAACTTTTTTCCCAAAGAGTTTAATGTTTTCGTTACATGATATTAATTTTGGTAATGTTTAAAATTTAAACCCCTTCTTACAAAAAACTTACATTCCATTAAGTTTATTATAAATTTTAATTTAACATGGCAAGAATAGAAATATAATGTGAATTTCCAAAGAAAAGTGGAAAAACATTAAATCTGGTCAATCCAAAAAGTGCCTGCAAGAAACAAAAATGAAGAAAGAGGATTTCAAAATAGCATGGTGGGGCTGGCAAGGATAGCTAGGTGCACTAAGCCCCTGCTTAGGGAAGCGCCCCGGGGGTCGATCCCTGGCATCACGCGCCACGCCGGCCCGCCCTACCCCTGGGCTCCCTGAGCCAGTGGCCAAGTCCAGGCTTGGTGGTGCACACCTGTAATCCCAGCGCTGGGAGGCTGAAAACAGGAGGGCCATGGCAAGTCCCAGCTGTGCAGTGAGAGCCTGTAGCAAATACATTTAAAAAAAAAATTGAAACAAAGAAAAAATAACATGGTGAATAGAAAAAATACCAAGCTCCATTTATATTTGGTGTCCTTTAATTCATTATTTATGTCTCGCAGGGCGACAATGAATCACTTGTGGGAGCAAACAGAAACCACAACGCCAAGGACTCGTTTTACAAATCTTCTACACAAAAGTAGGCATTTTTCCAATGGAACGGTAAGATGTACTTCTCCATTTCTAATGACTCACCCGCAGTGTACAGGTGGCCCCGATCCTCAGAGTAACCCACAGCACGGCCGCCGCAGATTGATATGTCCGGGTCCTAAAGAACGCTCACGGTTAGTAGAAGCATAAAAGTAATGGAGAAAGGAAAGCGAGACAGAGGGGAGCTCACAGTGCTGTGGGGAGCGACAGCTGAGGAAGCTGGGAGGAGGAGGAGGATTCATGGCTCAGCTAATGCCTGCGCGAGTGCCAGGAGGAGTCTGCGAGGTGACTCAGCGAGCAGATCGGACCACAAGAATCATCATACGCAATAGGAGAGGAAACGCCCCCGCTGCGGAATTAACGCACTTGAGAATAAAAGAAGGTGGAAGAGGGAGCCCCAGGTCAGGCACAGGTGGCTGCGGTCTGCAGCACAGGAGTGGAGAGGCCTTGAGGAGAGGAGTGGGCGCAGCAGCAGCTCGGCATGGTGGGAGCAGCGGGGACGTTCGGCTTGGCTGTGCTCTGGGCAGGGCTGAAGCCCAAGGCTTCCAAGTGTGTGTCAGTGTGCTCGGGAGGACCGGGAGGCCAGCCTGCCTGAGCAGGACAGGAGGAGGGACAGCGGCCCCAGCAGGGGGAGAGGGGCTTGGAGCCGCACGGGGAGCTTTCGACCAGCGCAGTGACCAAGGCTGCTACTGAGCGACCCGGGGCCCTGGTGAAGAAGAGCGGAGGTCGGATCTGCGCTGGAGCCATCTGGGTGCAGGGCTCAGCTCCGGTCATCTGTGGACAGGGGCTGCCTGGTGCTGCCTTCCGGGACAGAGGTCCTGGCAGCTTGGGAGGAGCACAGCAGGTGTGACCAGGGTTGGCTCCCGGACGCGTGCTGAGTGGCCAGCTGTGGGCCAACGCACCTCAGAGGATGCTGGGCCTCTGCAGGTGGAGGGGCCAAAGGCTCCCTTCGCCTCACGAGATGACTTGCAGGTGGAGCAAGTTTGAAGGGAAACTTGAAGGATAGCTGTAGATGTGGGGAGGGTGTACGTGTCCCTTAGGCCTCCAGCGGCTACATGAGATAAACAGACCCGGAGCCTTGCAGGGAATCTGCTGGAGAAGCACCCAGGAGCTGGAGCTTGCAGCAGCCACGGCTCAGGCGGAGGACGCCAAGGCGAGGTGCGGAGAGGCCGGAGACTCAGCATCATTCCGTGGGAGGAAGGAGAAAGCCGGAGGCAGAAGAGGACCCAAGGGGGACGGCCGTAAGGGAGGAGATGTGGAGGTCACTCGAGTCTGGAAGCGGAAGGCAGCTGAAGAGAGCACTCAGAAGGGCGCAGCGGAAGCGTGCTGCATCTGCAGTGAGGCCCGAGATGTGCGCGCAGGCTGATCGGGAGCTGTGCCACAGAGCAGAGGGACAGGCAGAAGCCCGACCCAAGAGTGGCAGGAGCACTGAGTGCGGAAGAGGGGAGCAGCGCCAGGGGGTGCGCAAGAGCGGGGCGCGGGGGCCACACCACCCCGCGCGGGGCGAGTCCTTTCCCTCCTTCGTGCAGTGCGGAGGCACGCAATGTATTTCCTGTTCTGTTGAAAGCGCGCATGTAACTGCGTTTAGTGGGGTGGCTGGAGTCCTGCGCCGCTCGGAGCTGGGCGGCCAGGAGGCTGCGATGGGGACACTGGGGGCGGCGCTGACTCAACCAGAGGTGACCTGGCCTTGGGTCCCGACCTGAACCATCACCAGCGCGTGACCTAGACCGAGCAAAGGCGATACTCAGCGCAGTAATTTGTTTATAAACTAACGGTCTACCAGGCTGGCAGTGAAGATCAAACGAAAGATTTTTGGAAAAGAAGATTTGTATAAATACACGTACCAGTTGTGCACTATGGTGTGACCGTGTACCTCACATTTACTGACTTGGTATTGCGCAGGCCTGCGGGTCAGAAGGCCAGCCAGGACCTGGCCCTGTGGGGCTCATTGTCAGGGGTATCCAGGCTGGAACGAAGGTGTCTGCTGGTGTTGGGGTCTCATCTTCCAAGGTCATTTAGGCTCTTGGCAAATTGCACCGTTGGGAGTCGTGAGTTCTTCCTTCTAGGCTGGCCAGGAGGAGGGTCTGCTGCTGCTGCTGCTGCTGGGAGCTAGCTCTCTGTCTGTCTCTGTCTCTCTGTCTGTCTGTCTGTCTGTCTCTCTCCCTCCCTCCCTCTCTCTCTACACACACACACACACACACACACACACACACACACACACAATTTAGGGCTTGCTTGCTCAAGCAGGCCCACTCAGGATAAGTCACCTTCTGAGGAACCAGGACCTCACCTCTAGGTTCGCAGCCCATGTCGACATAGAGAGTAACACGCCACAGGAGTGCTGCTCACTGTACTCGTGGCCGCCCGGCTGGGGACTCTGAAGGGTGTGAACACCAGCAGGCAGGAATCCGTGTCACCTTAGGGTCCCGCCTACCCCAGCGTATGACTGTTTCGAGCTTTAATGCTAAGAGCGTGCTCCTCCTAAACTCTCCTCACTGATCTCTTCCCAGAGCTTATGAAACTGTCCCTTGGGACCAGATGCTGCGGCCAAGACTTGAGCCTGAGGAAACCACGGTGGAGAAAGCTGCCGACCTCGTCTCACAGAGCTGCACCCTGAAGCGGTACCAGAGCGTGCCAGCCATCACCCAGGTCAGTGAGCGCCGCAGAATTGAGGTGCCCCTGCTGTGCTCGGGCTGAACCCCACAGCTCACAGGGAAGAAAATGCTCTATGGTTTAAACGCTGCACCTGAGCTGAGGTGCAGCGTTTAAACCATAGAGCATTTTCTTCCCTGTGAGCTGTGGGGTTCAGCCCGAGCACAGCAGGGGCACCTCAATTCTGCGGCGCTCACTGACCTGGGTGATGGCCTCTGTTTCCCAGGCCCCACTCTTCCCCTCTTGCTGTTCCCCACCTCTACCGGCATCTCCCTACATTGTGTCCTCCTCCTCTCCTGACTTCCCTGTCCCCGAGTCTGCCGCACTCTGTCATAAGTCCCAACTCTCAAGTGTCCCTCCTCCCTCCTTGATCCCTAGCAGTTTGTGGGGCTGCATGCCCAGCATTGTGAGGGCCCCACGCTGCCTCTGCTGCCTCTGCTCTGTGCTTGCACAGTGTCCTCGGGGTCCACCAACTCCCTCGTCCTCTCACGCCACATGTCACAGCACAGGGACCTGCCTGCACCGTGGGGTGACTTCTCATGACAACATCTGAACACATGGAACCCCTTGGGTCAAAAAGGAAGCCAGTCTGATAAGAGTGCATTATAAATAGGGAGGTAAAAAGAGACACGATGGGCCGGGAGATAACTCAGTGGAAGAAGTGCTCACCTGGCAAGCGCAGGGTCCTGAGTCCGATCCCTGGTACCACCAAGAAAAAAAAAGGTACATAAGCTGCAGATTAAGAAGCCCCTCGATTATCTTCTAAAATATCTTCAGCTTTTACAGAGAAAAACAGCAGTGAGAGAAGGAAAACACAGCCTTCTTCAGATTCAAACCTGGAATTTTCACATAGAAATTAAAATCAATAAAGAGGTTTAAAAATATGTACCATCCCATCTGTATTTCAAGGATCTCTCAACCACTTCAGTATATTTTTAAGTCTTTTAAAAACATGGGAAGTTCATCATTTCCTTGGTGTCCTGAGCCCTGGCCAGGCCAAAGGAGGTTCCCGGTAAGGGGCTATGCTGAGCGATTCGGGTTAACAGGCGCCAGGCCTGGGCTGAAGCCGAATCCAGGTCTCCCTGTGGGCTTCGAGCCGAGGAGGCAGAGACGAGGCAGGTTCCAGCTGTGAGAAAAAGAGGGTGCGAGCAGGGGTGCAGAGCAGAGCTAGGGCCCAGACATCCAGGCTCTGGTGCACACCAGGCTGTGGGGGGGCGGGGCCGGGTGGGGCGGGACCAGGGTGGGCAGGGCCAGGGGTGGGTGGGTGGGCGGGGCCAGCGGGTGGGCGGGGCCAGCGGGTGGGCGGGGCCAGCGGGTGGGCGGGGCCAGTCAGGCCCGCGTTGGTACCCGTGAAGTTGCAGCCTCTTCAACTGATGTTCTTTGTGCTGGGTTTTAGATGGTCGGTGGACTCTGGGACAGATTTCAGACGAGATCATTCTTGGCACCAGGCAAGCCCATCACTTTGTAAGTGCTGCTCCCCAAGACGCCCTCGCTAACTTCCTCACCGTGGCGAAGGTGGCGTAAGAACTGGTCCCCCACGGAGGTCAGCGCACAGGCGAGCTGCCGCGGCCCAGCCCGGGGAGGGACGACGCCCGGCCGCTGCCGTGTGCTCGGCGTCGCCTGCTGCCTGTTCTCTTCTCCGCCTTGAATGCGGGCACGTGGACGTGCCATGACCACATTAGCACGGCTGACGCGGGCGGTGGCACTGTTGCGCATTCCAAGGACTTCCTGCAGAAGGGTCTGTGAGCTGCTGCGGCCAGCTTTGTGTCGCATCACTGTTCCGTGGTGTGTTAGCATCGGAAGCCCTGGCTTTTCTACCACGACTGTCCCACGGGCAATTCTGAGCATTGTTTTACGAGAACTTAAGAAGGTCACCATTCGGGCTATTTTTTGGGGGACCCCGAGAATCATTTCCTTTTTACTTTTAAAATTCATTGCGATATTCCGTGTGCACAGAAACATCAATAGAAGCAAGCTCTAAGCTGTGTATCTGAGCCAAGCGTGGCGCACACCTGTAATCCCAGCACTCGGGAGGTCGGGGCAGGAGGATCTCAAGTTTGAACTCAGCTTGGGCAACTGAATGAGATTCTGTCTCAAAATTTAAAAAAAAAAAATTAAAACAGGGATTGGAATGTAGCTTTTGGGTTTGCTGTTCAGTGCTAAAAATAAAATCAGTGCAGCTACTTTCTCTTTTTAGAAATAAACTGTCCGCATCACAGCAGAAGCCCCTCTGTAGCTCTCCATGCGGCTGTGTGCCTGCCTCAAGGCTGAGGATTATTCTGCATTCTATGTTTTGTATCTTCATGTCTGCTGTTAGTCCTTTAAAATGAATTGTGGAACTACACGCAGCATGGGGTTCTTTTCTCAACTCTGTATACAGGACATAGGACAGATAATTATGCCAATCCACACGGTAGCCAGTATTGTGTTTCCCAAAACTATATGTATCAGCATCCGTGTCTCTAACTTTTCTTTTTCTTTGCTGTATAGTTTTCCACCTGGTGGATAATTAAACCTATAGTGCAGTTAGAAAGATGTCCACTTCACATATTAAAATATACATACGGGGCTGGGGAGATGGCTCAGTGGAGTAAGCGCTTCCCTGGCAAGCGCAAGGGCCTGAGTTCAATCCCCGGTTCCACCAAAAAAAAATAACAATAATAAAATAAAATATAAACACATTTCTGGATCTGGTATACAAAGCCGTGTCTGGATTGCTTGGTCAGGAGCAACACTCTTCTCAGCCTTCTGGTGTTGCTCTCTTTTTCTCTCACTGAGTTTTACCGACAGGCACTCCCACGAGTAGTGCACAAATTCCATCACTGTGAATTTGAACAGTGTTCAGAATTTTCAGGATTAAGAATCTGGGTCTTGTGAGTGTGAAATCGTACTTCCTTATCGGCTCAAATTCCAGCTAGCGGTCCCTGTTTTCAGTTTGTAAGTGTCGTGCCTGCCTACGTCCTCTGCTTCGCGCGTGCCTTGCCTTTCACTGCGGGCCGCCCTTCACTTTCCACTCATCAGAGAGATGTGCGCGTTCGCTCTTCCGAATAAAACCTCCCTCGCGAACACGACAGCGTGGCTTGTGCCGGCCTGCGGGTCTCCCGCGTCCAGTTGACTCTGCTCTACTGAAATTTTGAATTGTAAGGTAGTTGAATCCATCTGTATAATTTTTTCAGATCTTATTTTCTTTGCTTTTTAAACAAACCCTTCCCTACTCTGAAACTATGAAGGTATTCTCCTTTTCTTATTTTTCTCATTATTATTATTATTGTTATTATTAATTATCTTTTTAGTACTGAGGATCAAAGTGAGAACTTACAGCTAAAATTTTGGGTTACAGCTCAGGGCTTGTCTATTTTCTAGAGGCTGAGATGGGTCTCCCTGTGTCACTAGGCTGCGCAGGCCGAGCACAACCTCCTCCACCCAGAATGCTGAGATTACGATCTAAGACTTTCAGAGTTTTGCATTTTACACTTATTTCTTTAAACTAGTTACTCTAACTTTTGCTCATGATGTGAGTTAGGGGTGCATTTTCTCAACATGGATAAGAGATTGTCCTTGTTCTGCTCAGTGAGTGGCCTTTGCCACCATGCAGTCCAGCGCTGGCGGAGCCCTGTTGTCTCCTGCAGGTGGCGAGCCACACCAGCATTTCACAAAAATTAAATAGAATACAAAGGATGAGTGAAGCCTATGGGATTTGACAACAGAACTATATACTTTTCAACAAATCCTGGGGCCAGTTACAAAATAATGTCAAACAGATAAACAGGCAGGCAGGCAGGTGAATGGACAGACAGACAGACAGACAGATGAGACAGACAGACAGACAGACACACAGACACACAGAAAGACAGGCAGAGGGACATCACAAAAGGACAAGCGGCTGTCCAGGGAAGACCACTCCATGTCTCGTCTCTGGAGCTTCCTCTGCTCTCCCGGTTATGTTTTATTTGGTACAGGGTCTTGCTACACGGCTTGAACTCGTAGAGATCCCCCTGTCTCAGGTCCCCAGTGCTGGGATGACGGCGTGAGCCACCACGCCTGGTTAGGGGCACAGTGTGCCCGGATTCCAGAACTGGCACAGCATGCAGTGCTGGGGATCAAACCCAGGTCCTTGCACTTGCCAGGCAGGCGCTTAGACCACCAAGCTGCCTCCCTCGCCCATACGTTCTGTTTTATTTTTGCTGATAGGCCAATTGGTGAATGAAAGCTAGCTAAGTCTTCTGGACTGTGGTAGTTCAGAAATCCTGATTTTGCCCCTATGAAATGTGCTCTCAGAAGGCTACATAAAAACCCTTATGCAAATGTTCATGACACATGTTTTCGTAATCTCCAGAGCCTAGAAATAAGAGCATGCCATTTAGCAGGTAAGGAGGGGAAGACAGCAGAGAATGCCCATGCCATGGAGTACTACTAAGCAAGGAAAAAGAACAAACATACACACAGCAGAAGGGAGAGATCTTAAACAATTTTTCTGTGACCATGGCCAGACACAAAGGGCTTTGCCTTGTGTGTTTCCATTGATGTCACATTCTCAAAAAGCCAGAACTACATCCTTAACTTATTTCTAAAGCCATGTACTTTCAAAAGCCAGCGAAAAGTATCTGCAGACTTTTTATTTTGACTAAATGTCTTAAGAATGTGGCATTTATTAACAGCATTCGCTAACCCAGCTGTCCCTATGTTCTCTTCTTCTTAGCGTGAGCCCAAGCTCCAGAAGCCGGTACATCCCCCTCTACAGGTACGTGCAGTCCGTCCGCGTGGGCAAGCTCCGGGCACTTCAGGCTGCAGGGCCCGCACCTGCGCTGACCCCGCTCTTTCGAGACAGCGGTGCGCAGCATCCCCAGGCAGATCCTTGTCGAGCACCAGGCGTTTAATCAAGTGTTTGTTGTAAGGATTGTGATTACATTATAAAAGAGGTGGAATCCTTTTCTAGATGGCTCATTTTATGAAACCATAATGTCCGCTGGAGTTGACATCCAGGGCAGGTATAATGGCGCCAGGAAGGCGGAATCCTCCCTCAGCTGGGCGGGCCGAGCGCTCTTCTCCCTCTGCGCAGAAGGCCAGAAGGCCACAGACGCCTGTGCCCAGGGTCCCCTCCTCTGTGCGTTCTTCAGAGGGGGCCAGAAGCACGGAGCCAGCAGGGCTGCCGCCATGGACCGGGGCTGCGCCTGGCGCTGCCACCTCTGCCTCCGTGCAGGCTCCTTTGCAGCCCGTGAGCTCTCGTAGCCAGGGACCTCAGCCCGGGCCTCTCACTGGCCCTGGCTCACCTGCAGGAGCCCAGCGCCTCCTCGGGCAGGTGCCACCTCACCATTCCTCCCAGGCCTGCAGTGATGTCCAGGGACAGGGAGTCCTGACTTCTGTGTGTGGGCAACTCGGGCTCTGTGCTGTACCCGGGTTTAGCCATAGATGTCTCCCTCACCTCTGGCCAGCATTGCAGTGCCCTGTCCACACATTTTTGCTTTTTGTGTCTTGAGTTCTTGGTCCACTAGGACAGACGGAACTTCCCTTGGAAGCCAGGACACAGCGCAGTGGCCCATCTTTCCTCCATCCTCTTTCCTTCCCTCCAACAGTGGCCACCTGCAGACCACCGACGCCGACGCAGTGGACGACCCCTGCGGAGATACCACAGCCTTGGCCGAGCCTCGGCAATCGAAGCCGCTGTACACGAGCCCGAGCCGGTGAGCCCCTTCACTTGCTTTATCTGTAGAAGGGGATGAGGAGGTGGGCTTTAGTACAAAGGAAAGAACAAGAGTAATTGCCTGGCCCAGGGAGTTCGCAGATGCCTGCAGCCCCAGCACCTGAGAGACCGAGGCAGGCGGACTCCAAGCCAGAGCCCAGACTGGGCACCTAGTGCCCTAGTGAGGCCCTGAATCAAAATAAGCAAATACAAGGGCTGAGAATGTAGCTGCATGCGAAAGGAGGCCTGGGTTCAGTCTCCCGCCCTGGATAAAACATCGCCTGGCCTGCTTTTGAAAGTATCATAAGAAGAAAGATAGCAGCAGCTCCAGGGCCTCGCCAGGGTGTGTTTATCGAGCCATTTCACTCCATGACCTCAGTCTGTTCCACGGAGGCTGACCCAGAACTGCACGGAGCAAGTAGGCCAGTGAGTGGATACAGCGTCCAAGTCATTGGTGACGTGACTGACCCATGACAGTCATTATTAAATTTGGCGAAACGGCTCTTCTTCCACGTGACATACTGAGCTGTGGTGTTAGCTCTGGCTCTCCAGAGCCCCCGAGCCTCCCCCAGGGACGGGACCTGGAGCACGCTCAGCAGGAAGCAATCACACTCAAGATTCAAAGTTGGGGGCCATCAAATAGCTCAGCAGATTAAAGCACCTGCAAGCAGGCGCAGGGGCCAGGGCTTCAATATAGCAATTGAGACTGCGCGTGGCGGCGTGTACCTGTAATCCCAGCTCTTGGGAAGCTGTAAACAGGCAGATCACTACAAGTCCGACCCTGATCACCCTGTAGACCGGTCCCTAAAATTAAAAAAAAAAAGACTCAAAGTTGGGCTTCTGCGGAGCCCACAGCACTTTCACACCATCCTGAGGGAGGAAGACCCGAGTCCTGCTGCCTTCAGCTGAGTTCTCTGCACTGTGTTGGAGAGTGCACGTGCACCTCCTGCACCTCCTAGGTACGCACTGCGTGTGCAGGGACGTCATCACCTGCGACACTGAGGGTCAGGGTGAGTGGCAGCGCCCTCGGGGTGTCAGGGGGCCATGTCCAGGACCTTGGGGTCCCAGGGCCTGGCGTGCTCAGGGCTCTCGTGTGCACTAGAGGAGGACGTGCATAGAGTGAGCACGCTCTGAAGCATCGCCAGGTGACTTCTAGTACCTAACGCGGCCTAAGCGTGGGCTGCACACCAGCTCCACCCACCGCTCAGCATGCTCAAGCGGAAAACAGTCTGTGTGTACCCAGCACAGCCGCGGTCCGCTCCCGTCTCTGCTGTGTGTAACTGGGCGGCAAACACAGCGAGTGGAAGACCAGTCATGCTGCGGCAGCCTTCAGGTAGCCCGTGCTTGGGGCTGCGCTCTGCCCAGGATGCGCTGCGAGGCGAGAGCGTCCAGGCAAAGGGCAACGGGGAGCTCCCGTGCAGGGCTGGGGGAGCTTCTGCGCAGGCCCGAAGCTCCGATCGCCACAGTGCACGACGTCCGAGAGCATCAGTTGTGCCCAGGAGACAGCCCAGTTGGGCCTCACGCTGGTACCTTTCAGATATATTCTATTATTTCTAAACTGTGATGCTATTTCCAGCAATCACTTTGAATTTTTCCTGTTATCTTTTCTATCTAATTCTTCTGACTCTCTGTAGTCAACTGTAAAAATACGCTTGAAAACTCTCTTCGGCTTTAAGGTATAGGAATGTAACCTATCTCATGGAAGGATTCAATGAGCCTACAAAATTGAGTTCCAGCTTGGTGTGGTGGTGCATGCCTCTAATCCCAGCACTCGGGAGGCCAAGCGGGAGGATCGTGGCGAGACCAGCGTGGGCTGCAAACTGAGCTCAAGGCCAGCCGGAACTGCACAGCCAGACCCTGTCTCAAAAAGACAAAAGAAAGAGAGCTCCAGAAGCTGTCAGAGACGCCGGAAGAGTGGTAGCATGGGGATAACAGGGCGAAGGAGCAAGCTCTGTGCACACACGAGGGAAAGCAGGGCGAGACGAGCCCCGTGGCAAGCAGCGTGAGTTTTCTGAAACACAGCAGGAGAGCTCACGTCTGGACCTGAGACCCGCGCCGTAGTGTGGAGCCTGGCGGGGACGCCGACAGTGCTCGCCTCCCATGAGCTCTGCAAGGAAACTGTTGCTGCTAGACCTCAGACTCCCAGGAGTGACGCGCTGGCCTGGAGCCCGGCTACTTGGGAGGGAGGCTGAGGCGGGGGGACTCTAAGCTCCGGGCCAGCCTGGACAGCTTTGTGAGACCTGCCACAAGGCACAACAGGTTAAAAAAAAAAAAAAAGGCGAGGATGTCTCTCAACATGAGGCCCTGCTAAATTGCCAGTACTGCAAAAAACAAAAATGATAATAACAAATCATAAAAATTTTAAAGCAAGGATGTAAAAAATAAGCTGGAACATTTTTGAAACTTTTTTCAGGTATAAAAGATCAATAATGTTTCTTTTTTGAAATGTATGTATATTTGAATTTTGAAGTGTTTTACTGAGTATACTTGCTAAGTATTCCATTGGAGGGCTGGGGACATAGTGCAGCGGCATACGTGTCTTTCTGGCAAGTGCAGGGTCCTGAGTTCGATCCCCGGTACCAAAATAAAATAAAATAAAATGTGATATAAGAACATACTGTTCCACCTGAAGAAATTTGGGAGTATGCTATTTTATCTCATCTTGCTGTATGTTTAAAAGGAAGTGAAATTCTAAGTGGATTACAATGTAAATGGACAATAACTGTAGTTCTCTCATTTTAACACTAGAGGACAGAAGAGCTCGCAAAATTTCTGTATTCATTTTCAGTTTTTGACAGAATCTTAACCTTTTAACACAAATATCTTCCACTTTTATTATAAAATACTCATTGATGCAAGCGATATGATGTCACATGTGATTTGTAAAATAATGACACATTGCCTGTGCAACAACCCGCCTAGCTTAAGAAACAGATTGTTACTCAGCTTTAGACTGCGCGTGCGCCCCTTGGCCCCCCTCCCACGTCCAGGTCGGGTCCCCGCCCACAGTGCGCCCCTTTGCGCCCCTCCTCTTTGCTTAGCGCTGCAGTGTGGCTCCCAGCGCAAGGTCTCCAAGCATCATGCCGTGTCGCTTCCACAATGCCATCAATAAGGCACAGAAGAATTTATAAGGGAGGACAACATCTTCCTAAGTCCTCAAATCCAGAAGCACACCACCTGGCGCCAGCTGAGGGACAGCGTCGCCCTATGCGCGGGCAACTTTCCCCCCTTGACGGCTTCTGCAAGGGCCGGTGGTGTTTAACCGCGGCTGGCAGCAGCCTCTCCTCCGCTCGCCCCTGGCCCTGCCATGTGAAGCTTTCCCAGTTTCCCTCGTTAGTTGACTGTGGCTTTTTCGGTCACCAGGTCTTCTGACGCACCCTGTGGTTCTCGTGTTGGTGGACTGCGCTACCAGCTTAAAACCAGTTTGTCTGTGTTGCAGACTTAAACCGGATGGTGATAGAAAAGTTGTACAGGACAGTGAATACCTATGAAAAACAAACTCTCATGCAAACACCTGGCCGCTGTTGACAGCTGGGCGTCTTCTCCTGGGTAGTGGAAAGTTTTAGTCCAGCTTTTGTGTATTCATACAGCTGAGACCTTGCCACCCGCGACACCCTCAGGTGTCCCCCCAGAGCCTCATGCAGTCGTAGGGCAGCCTCCGGAGTTTGTGATTGATTACTGCGGCTGTGGATGCTGCACCTGCCCTGGGGCAGGTAACTTGCACGAGAGTGTAAGGTGGGCGGAGAAGCCAGCTGCTGGGCGGCTGCACGCCTCCTCCCTTGTGCTCTTGCTCTTGGCCTCCCCACCAAAGGTTGCCCTCTGCTATGTGCCCTAATGCCTGGGAGCCAGCCCAATGTGGACTGAACCCTCCAGTAACTGTGAGCTAAATAAACCTTTCCTTCCTTCAGTTTGGGTGTCGGGTATTTGTCCCAGCAACGAGAGAAGAGTACGGCAGGGCCTAACACCGCGCTTGTGGGCACACACCGTCAGGAACTCGCCCGATTTCCGTCTGTGCAGCTGCGCGGTCCCTGATGTTTCCTTGGGGGTATGTATGTAAACTGGTGCCATTTTCGCTCTTTTGCTAAACCATTTTCTGTGTGCAGAGTCCAGTGGAATGAGTATTGAGGCTCACCCTCAAGGTTACCCCGTGGTACCCCCAAGCACGCTCACTATAGAAGCAGTTCCAGCTTTTTTCTTTCTTTCTTTCTTTCTTTCTTTCTTTCTTTCTTTCTTTCTTTCTTTCTTTCGTTCTTTTTTTTTTTTTCCTTAATGTATTTAGAACAGGGTCTACAGAGTCGCACTACACAGATCGGGCTCCTCGTGCTCCTCCTGTTTTCAGCCCCCCAAGTGCTGGATCACAGGCGCGCACCCCAGGCCCAGTCTCAGCGCACCCCGGGCGCAGGGCCAGCACAGCACACCAGGGATGGAACCCCGGTCCCTCCATCTGCCTAAGCAGGTGTTTTAGTCCATTGAGCCATCTGGCCAGCCCAATTCCAGCATTTTTAAAGTGCAAGTAAACCCTCACCTCCATTTTCACTCCCACTGTTCGAAGTCCGACCTCTTACGCTTCCTCCCCGGGGAGCTGCACAGGCCACCGAGAGACCTTGCGCATGCGCAGTGGGTGTGCACGCCGAGGCGGGAGAGACGTGCGTGCACGCTGGGAGCGTTTCCCACCCACGGTGCTGCTCGCGGCTGCATGGGGTGCCGTGCGAATCTGCATTCAGTTCATATAGTTCTAACTAGAGAGCTTTTCCTGTTAGCATACAGCAGAAGCTACGTGTTTGTGAACTCTACACTACTGTGCATGCGTGCCGAGGAGCGAAGAGCCAGATTCAATTGGTGCGTAAGTTTTCTCGTGAGAAAAGGGTCCTAACTTGGTAGGCATGCCCAGCTATTACAAGGCATCGGGAGTTAAGAAACTCCAAGTACGAATGTGGATTCCGCTGCCATGTCTCTGTACTTATAACCTAAGACTGTTTTAGGAACAGGAAAATTCAAAAC